TTTCCTTGCACCCCATCTAGTGTTAGCAGGTCTGTAATGCAGCGATTACTGCGATTTTCGGTTCGTATTAAACTCAGTTATTCCTTTCTTTCTTGCCACAAAACCAAGAGATTTTAACTTTCAAAATAATTTTCAAAAGATACTTAAGATACTTCAGTGGGTTTCTTACACGCAGAGTGGGTACAAACCAAGCCCTAAAATCAATGCCTAGATTTTCAGGTCTTTGCAGTGGGTTCTCTTAAGATCCGTTAAATTTTACTGAATCATTGGCATTTACTCTGAACTTGCAAAAATAAATATAAATCGATCAATCAACAGTGAATACGTTTTATTTAAAGCAATCCTTAAGCATTATCCATTGATCCTGATAGTCACTAACACAGGGAATAATTCTTTTTGTTTCCTCTTCTTCCTTCAGAAATAGCACAAATCTCTGTAACTAATTATAGGCTTGTGCAATCAAAGACATGTCTGACATACCATAATGGGATGCAATTGCTCTGGGATCATTGCTTTCCTTTTAGGTATTCCACCTTTTCATGAGTCAGCAGCCGTTGTGGTGTGGTTCACTGAAACTCCATCACAGCACAACCACCAGCTTCAAATCAGCACCGTTTCCCCCCCCTGCCCTCTCCTGGTTCTTTGCCTTGCTTGGTGAACATTCTTTTCCACCTGTTACCACCTCCATCCAATCATCCTTGGAAAGTTTCTGTTCTTCCTTGAAAGTCACAGCAAGAGACAAAGAGAAAAGAATTCCCAAAGAAGAGTGTGGGGATGGTCACTGCCATGAGGGTTTCAAGGGGAAGACAGAGTAAGGTCTTTTTGAAAGGTGAAGCTGAAGGCACATGTGTAAGAAACAGCTGTGAGATTTCCACTCCTCCCTTCTAATTCCCATTCACTCCTGGCCTACAGACCTGAGCTGCTGCCACTGCTCCCTCTTGGCAGCAATGCTCAGAGCCAGGAATTACTGAGGCTTGTTTTTTCACACCCTAACCCAGAGGAAATGGAGCTGAACTGCTAACAGTGGGGTCTTTACTAGAATCTGGAAACCAGCCCCTTTAACCCCTCTTGCATTCCACATACAGTCCAGCCTCCTTTTTAACAAACTGCTGCCTAGGTGATGTAATGGGCTTCAAAACTGATCTTCACTGGCACTTCATCCCTCAGGTGAGTCAACCACACCACTCAGCTTGGTGTCGTCTGCAGCCCTGCTGAGGGTGCACTTGATCCCACTGCCTACGTTACTGGTGAAGATACTAAACAGTACTGCTCCTAGTAGGGACCCCTGAGAGACAACAGTTGTCTCCATCTGGACATAGAGCCATCAACCACTACCCTCTGGAGGCGACCATCCAAACCATTCCTTATCCACCAGACAGTCCATCCATCAAATCCACATCTCTCCAATTTAGAGAGAAGGATGTTGTGAGGGGCTGTGTCAAAGGCCTTACAGAAGTCCAGAGGGATGACATCTGTAGCTCTTCCCTTGTCCACTGATGTAGTCATTCCATCACAGAAGGCCACTAGGTTGGTGTTAGGAAGATTGGATGAAAAGTATCTATAAGCATCTCCTTATTCCAGTTTTGCCATGTCAGTGAGACAGGCTGGGTGGAGTTTGGTGGAAAACAAGGAAAGCAGGTGCCAGAAGTTTAATATAAGTAATATTGAAGTAGAGATTAGAAAACTAGAGATGGTGAGGCTGTAGACAAATGTTTAGTTACCCTGAGGGAAACAAATCACATTTTCTGAGCACAGAGATAAATCAATGTGAGATCAGGGAATCAGAGAGAATAAAAAATATGTTTCTAAATAAAGGAAAGGAATAGGAGTTACAGCATATGAAGTGTGAGTTTACTTAATTGCTGTGTAGAGAAAGTATCTAAGTGCCTTTCCAAGGTCACTCAAAGAATGCAATCCACATCATTTTCCTTTCCAGAGTCACCCTAGTTTATGCTTAATTAAACTATGCAAGCTCTGCACACT